AGGAGGAGGAGGAGGAGGAGGAGGAGAGGGGGGAGGTAGAGGAGGATGAAGAGGACTAGGGATGAGGGGGTGGAGCGGCGGCAGGAGGAGGATGATGATGAGGAGGAGGAGGAGGGGGAGGAGGAGGGTCAGACTTAAGCTGTTGAGGGGAGCGACCCCCATTCAGCACGCAAGGAAATGGGGGGGGGTGCGACCCCAGGCCCAGCTGGATCGCCGCATGAAGGGCACCTTCACGAGCCCTCCGCTCACAGATGGGCTTGCCGAGAGGAACCGCACTTCATGGGTTCACAATTGTCCTTCCGCCCTCGCTGCGGGCCTGCGCTGGAGCAACTGTCATCACGGCGTACTATGACTCTTTGGTGCGTGTAGCAACTCCACGAGTTTCACATTCTCGCTTAGGATGTAGACAATGACTTTCGACGATAACAACCTCTATTGTTGTATAAGCTCGGTTGCGCGCTGCGTGGAACACAAATTATCCTTCCGCCCTCGACAGGTCCGCATACTTTTCTCTCATGGTTGTCAGGTGCTCGTCGAAATCCTCTGTTGTGGCTCCGTTGTCGCACTTCAGCGGCATCGGCCCATCAGGATCCCCAGCTCATTGGCGAGGCGTTCCGCTTCCGACGTCCACTCGTCTTCCCGAAGTAGGGGCTCTCCCACTCTGTGCGCGGGGTCGGCGTATTCCCCTCCTTGGCAGCCGCATGCCAGAAGTCGCTGTAGACCCTGCTCATGGTTGCCAGGAGGTCCCCGAACTCTGCTGTCGTGCCAGCATCGTCGTACATGTCGTTGCACTTGTCCCAGAGCGCGTCTAGCGCCCGAACGTGCTCACCCGCTTCGGCGCCGATGTCGCTCTCCGCCGCTAGGGCCTCCATGCCCTCGATCGTCTGCTCGTCGACGGCCCCCGCCTGTCCCTCGAGTTCGACGACCTGCGGCAGCGGCGGCTGCGCCTCAGCGCTTGCAGCACCGCTTGCTTGCACCGCACGAGGGAGCTCTCGACCCCCTCCGATCTCGTGCAGCTCATCCTCCGCGTCCTCCTCTGCTGCCTCGGCCTCGCTCTCGAGGACTGCGGGGAAGCGGGCCTGCTTGCCACCAGCAGGGTTCAGATCCCCCAGCAGGGCCTCGACGTCGCACGGCGCGGCCCAGCCGCCAGGCCACGACGGCGCCTCCCTCCTCAGCACCTTCACGGGGTGAGGAGTCGCGCGGCCGTGACGCCGTGGGCGTCGGGGTGCACGGCGCCGCCGTCGCGGTGCCGACGATGACGATCTCCGCATCGCTGGCCTGGGGGAATCCGCCTGGTGGCGCCTCCGCCGCGTGCCTGGCCACACCGTGGCGTCGCCGCAACCGCCCAATGGGCGCGGCGCCCCGCTGCTTGGAGCCGCAGCACGGGCGCGCGGCGCGGCCTTGCGGTCGCGCCAGGAGCCCGGGCCACCTGCTCCCTCGCCGCCGTGTCCGCACGGGTGCTCGAAGGCCAGCCTCGCATGCCAGCTGGAGTCGGTGGCGCGCTGCACGCCGCTCGACCGATGGGCCGAGAGCGCGGACCTCCGCGGCGCGGAGAGGACGATGCCGCCACGCTGCCAGGCAGCCCCTCGCCATGCCCGTGAGCCAAGAGCCCCGCCCTCCCCCGTTCCTCACGCCCCCCGGGTTGCCCCGACGGAGGAGGAGGGGGAGGAGGAGGAGGAGGAGGATGAGGAGGAGGAGGAGGAGGAGGAGGGGGAGGAGGAGGAGGAGGAGGAGGAGGAGGAGGAGGAGTAGGAGTAAGAGGAGGAGAAGGAGGAGAAAGAGGAGGAGGAGGAGGAGGAGGAGGAGGAGGAGGAGGAGGAGGAGGAGGAGGAGGAGGAGGAGGAGGAGGAGGAGGAGGAGGAGGAGGAGGAGGAGGGGAGGAGGAGGAGGAGGAGGAGGAGGAGGAGGAGGAGGAGGAGGAGGAGGAGGAGGAGGAGGAGGAGGAGGAGGAGGGAGGAGGAGGAGGAGGAGGAGGAGGAGGAGGAGGATTTATCAGAGCAATCGCATTAGCAATCGAACATATGATGATTGAAAGGGGGAAAGTGAGGATGATGATGAGGAGGTAGGGGGGAGGAGGGTTGAAGGGGAAGGATCAGCAGATCATGACGGTCATTTTGATCTGTCGCTTGCCCTAGGGTACTCTTGGGTCGAAACGGATTCGGCTCGAAGAATCGAGGTGGTGTGAATGAAAAGGGCAGGAGGTCTGGCCTTGTTTGTCTGACGCTGTGAGTGTCTCGCGACGGCAGATGTCGGAGCCTGTGAGGGCCGGGGGGCTGGCACGCTGTGACCCACAGATCCCGGACCTTGTCTGCCAGAGTTGTCGATATGGAAGTGTGGGAGGGGCTTGGGCCGTCCTGACTGCTCGACGGTTGTTGATGCTGCCTGCCCCTGCGGCTCTTGTGATTGATCCGATTGCAGCGCTCAGGCTGCTGCAGCTTGCGCGCTCCGTGAGCTCAGGGACTACTCAGCACATAAAACCAGCGACGGGCATGGCAAGCGCAGACTGCCAC